TAACGATAAATTGTTGACATTGATGTATGGTTAAAGAATCAGTTGCATCACCATTAATATTTTCAGTGTCATTGACTTTACTAGTATTATTAGGACGAGCATATAAGAAAACAACTTCTGGAGCAAATAAGAAAATTGATCTTTGATTTTCTTCTTGTAAAATCTAAGGAAAAAAATTTAACAATGGATAGTAATAGATCTTTAAAAAAAATTGAGCACAAATATGGGCATACAGCTCATGAAGCCCCATTAGCAGGGGCGTGGCTAAGGGTGTGTAGGGTGGGGCGACCGCACAGGGCTCTTAAAAAATAGGGGTCTCGAAATCGAATATATCTAGAAAATAGGGGCCCCTTTATAAGAATTTGCACAGAACTCCATACAACTTAACCACGAACCCCAGACAACCTAACCACGCCCTGCCCATTAGAAATTGCATTGTTTTCTCTCTTTAACTATCATCTAATATTTTGGGAACACATCTACAGGTGTATTGCAAACACGAACAAACTGGTTTGACAGAAATAATTCATCCCAGATGATTTTAAGCCCAGTGTAATAAGTGCTAACAGAAATCAATCATTGGGCTACCTCGTTGAGTTTCTTCTTGAGATGGAAGATGCATAACCCGTTTAACTGTTGGAATCCATCTTCAAGATTTTTTCCATATTACAGCAGCAGTAGAATGATAAAGAAGACTCGCTGCAATTTCTTTGGAAACAATAATTCACAAGGTTATTAGCTCTTGTCCAAGCATCATACAATTCTTTTGAAATCGACTCTGACGCTGTGATCGAACTATTAACAAACCCAAGTTTATTTTGTTACACATAATAATTGAGTAGCATGTTTGGCCTGGTGGCAAGGGCCATCCCAATTTAGGCCCTTGCCCTAGGTTCGATTCTCATCCCCGCACTTTCTAACATTTTATTCATTCATGCCAATATGCACCAATAGGAGAGTGACCTTATTGGTACAAAATTCTAATTAAAATTTAATAAAAAAAAGCTGAAGTGTCAATTACACGTCAGCATATATTAGTGATGTGGACACACCACGTCATCATTGATGTCCACCTGTGCTTTCTTAGTCAGCTGGAGTCGTTGACCGTCAGTTGACTGACGGTTTCCATCCAACGGGGGACTTTTGAATCAGAATTTAACGTTGTGAGGTCAAATGTTCCAAAAAAATAATACGGACAAATTTGCATATACTGTCAAACGTTAGGGGTATTTGTTTCTATTATGCCTTTTTAAATCATACCCAACATTTAGTTTTGGTTTTATTTTGGTACTCATCGTCAAAAAACTTAACGATGATGTTGATATGTCCATATAAGGTAATGTCACGTCAATAGTTTTTTTAAGGTTTTAACGATGGGACATAAATATGAAACATAAACTAAACGTTATGTATGATTTTGAAAAAAAAATAAAGTTTAAGCATCAAAACATAACAAAAGAAATAGTTTAGATACTAAACGTGTAGTTTATCCAATATTTTTCCAAGTATTTTATTAAGAAGTTTGGATTATGATATGTCGTATTTGATGTGTACATTAATGATTTAAATATTGTTGAGACTCTTGAAGAGATATTTGCGACAATGAAATACAAAGGGAAAGAATTTTAGATAAAAGATGTCAAAAAAAAAACAATTTTATCTCAACTTACATATCGAGTATCTAAAGGATGATCAATCATCTTATATAAGGAAACATCTTAAAGAAATTTTATATGACAATATGCATTGCTTACCTTAATGGTTGTAAGATCTTTAAATGTGAATCATGATCATTTTTTTATTATGAGAATGATGAAGAGTTATTTAATCCTGAAATATCATATTATAATGTCATAAAAGAATTAATGTATCTTACTAATCACACATAACCTGATATAACACATGTTGTAAACTTGTTAGTAAGATATTTCTCTTATCCAACACATATATTTAAATATCTCAAAAGAACAATTAATGTCAGATCGCTTTACTCTAATGATTTAAAGTCTCCATTAGTTGACTATCTAGTTGTAAGATATTTATTAGATCCATATTATAGTCGATCTCAAATATGATATGTATTTACAAGTGAAGATACATTCAACAAAGTAAACGTTGTCTATTCCTCCTTCAAATTATGCATAAATAATTCCAATCCATGAAGCATTTGGAAATCTAGTGATCCAAAATATCTAGAAGATATGTGATTTATTTTTACAAGAAAAGATATTTACTATCTTGAATAATGTAATATTTGAAAAGTTGGTATACAATATCGTGATGCATCACCTCAAAGATGTTATGTCGTCATGAGAGGGAGTAAAATGCATATTGTACTCTTTTTCTCTTAACTTGATTTTGTTTTATTGAATTTTCATGTTAAGGTTTCTAATGAAACATTATATTATACATATTAAAAAATAGTGTGTTCTTTTTTCTTTATTGGGTTTTTGTTTCTCGAGATTTTTTCTAATAAGATTTTAACAACACATATTTGAAAAAGATTTTAACAACGCATATTTTAGTGTGGACATTTATATGATAGAATTATAAATCCATGTATATAATGGATGCCCATTCAAGTCTCCAAATGCATGGATACACCTACTATGGAAGAACTCTATTCAATGTACTTGACTCTTGAAGTTTAGACCATTTATCCTATATTGTTTCTTGTTCGTTCTTCTAGTTCCCATAGTTTTACAATAGAATTTGGGTTTTATATATATTAGTATTGTTTCTTTATTTTCTTCCTCCTGATTTCCTCTTTACCAACGTTGTTCTTCATTGTATTGGTTAGATTCTCCACAAGCATCTCGTACACTTTTCCGACCATACTCCCAAATGGCATAATTCGATCCCCATGCTTTGCCACAATCACAGGAACTGTTGTACCCGTCATAATAACTGCAGAAACACCACAGCATGCAACAACACTACAATGATTAAGATTTCAATTAACTGAGACCAAACTGGAGTTGTCGACATATATATATATATATATATATATATTACCTCCACAAAGAGTTGGGAGATCAAAGAAGCTTCCGACATAGGAGAAAAGTAGCAGAAAGGCAACGGTTTGCGGAAATACAGACCAGTTTGCCTCAACATCAGTCGCATCAAATATCCATCTTATTACTTTATCGGTCACTTCCCAACAAGCGTTTGCAGTGTCCATGACAACCTGCTCTCGGAGATTTTCCAATCTTGATTTGCTTGCTTCTTCCCTGATCCAGATTAATTCAAATAGAGCAGTGACGCGAGAGTAGGATAAAACAAATTTGGGATTACTTACCGATCAAGAAACCGGTTCACATATCTCCAAATGAACAATGAAGTAACAATGAAAATGGCTACCCATGAAGCAATAGTGAGAAAGTTGTATTGACAAACTTGCTGCAATAGCCATGTTGCAGTTGAGCTTACGAGAAGCGATCCGCTTATCTTCTTTCTCTTCCATAAAGCTATGTCGTTTACTACTTCTGCAACAAAAAACAAAAAGGTTGTAAAAAGCACAAAAATACACACAACAGAAAGTATATAACACCAGGAACTGATACCTGAAGGCTGAGAATGTACAATTTTCTCTCGAATCAGGTCGAAGATAGCACCACCAGTATTTTTAGCACCGGAATGAAGATGTTCAAGCATAATATAAAAGAAAATTGAAAACATCAGCTTCAGTTCATCAACGGAATCCAGGATTTTTCTAGTGTCCCCATATATCATAACCGGAAAGAATACGTCCAACGTTGTACGAATCGAAGTATCCAGTTCAATGAGCTCTTTGGCGAATTTGTACTTCTTGCTAATATTCCAGGAGCTTACCCTAGAGGATTTATCAACCGTTTCCTTGGCTTGATTCAAAAGATTCAACAACCTCTGGATTTCATGAGCATCAGTGGACCGATTTATCTCCTCGACCCTTGGTGTAATCAGATTAACTGTATCTCTGATTTGATTGAGAATGGGTTTAAATCTTTTGGCCGTCTTTCTTGCATTTTTTATGGATTCCAATAACTGGCCAAGTACGGTTGATAGAGCAACTCCTGGAACAGCGTTGATAATATGATTCATATTCAGTAAATATGATCACGGTGGAGTTTGTTTTTCTTTAACGTAATCATTGGACAGCGTAACAGGTATTATATATAGGGTAGGTAAAATGAAAACCTATTGAATTCCTTTGCAGTTTGCTTCTTGGAATCTGCCATGCATGTTCTTCCCCACAGGAACTGATGATTTCATGTTTATTTAACTGGTTCTGATAGTGTATCTGCCTGGAAACCTTCTCCCTTTATATTTTAATTCCAAGTCGGGCATGCAAGTTCTAAGGTCTAGCTCAAGAAATCATATGAAAATTGCAGAAAACTACCCCGCTTATATAAATATCATTAAGTTGAATAGGGAAAATATATTAATCATGTTCACAAAGAATAGATATTCAAGAATGAGTCATCCTCTTATATTAAATGTGAAATTTGAAGTCAATCCCTAACTAACAATTTTTATTATTTGCTAACGAACAACTTGTTGAAATAAAAGATGGGTCCGGTTGTAGAACAGTTGGTGGCGGGGCAAAGTGAAGCTAAAATCGGGGCATTGGATGCCTTTATTTACTTGTATTCCACGAGGACCTGAAGTGTTAAAGCCTTAAAGCCTCGTCTTCAATTTCATCATGATACAAATAACTTTCACAAGGCTTAATTAGCATTCCATACTGAAACAATAATGCTAGCTGAAAATTTATATGGCAAGCTCCGATGAAAAATTTCGACAACAATACTGGTGATTTGAAATTAAAGCAGTTCAGGTTTAGCATATCAACATCAAAAACTACACACAGACTCGACATTTTGATTTAAGCCATGTCCCTACATAAAATGGTAGATAAAACAAACCAATTCCCATGGCATTAAGTCACCAAAGAACAATAAAGAGAGGTCATTGTCCTATTTATACTTTCACGTACCTAATAGTTTACTCTCACCACTCACTAATTAAATTCACTTTGTACGATAAACATTAAGAAAAGAAGACGACAAAGAAACCTAAAGAGAAGATTCACTTGACCCCATTTCCAGGGGTTGAAATGGCAAGATCATGCTAAGAAAAGCAATTCCCACCAACAAATCCAGGTTCTCCACCTTCAAACTGCCATTTATTTTCCATTCCCGTGGCGGCCCCACCATTGCCACGCCCACCGACTGCAGAAGCAGCGACAGCTCCATCTCCTACGCCTGGAAAAGACCACACTCCTCTTCCAAACCCGAATCCAACATCATCGAGAGTTGGAGCAATACCAAGCCCAAACCCTCCAACAGCTAGAAAACCAGGCCCCTGAGTATTCAACAATGAAGTAAAACTTCGAAAGATATTGCCTTTGGACTCTCCACCCATGCCAGAACTTCCCTGATTGGCTGAGAATGGCAACAAAACCGGCTTGGCAGGTAATGGGAAGCTATTGTGACCAGTGGCGGCGGCGGCGGCATTGGATGCGGAAAAAGTTGTGATGCTGCTGCTGCGTGAACGCTTAGCATTTTTCCTGGTGCCACCGCCAACAGGGATGTCCCTCAGGGTGCCACCATGAGTCCAGTAACGGCGACAGGACTTACAGAAATAGCGAGGTTGAGAAAAGTTATAGTTGTTGTAGTAACAGAACTTAGTGTTGGTGGAGTCACAGCGTGGACAAAGTAGCTGCTCTTGTTCTGGTGGTTGGGCTCCATGGGCCTTGGTTAAACACCTGTTTTGATCTCCGGAACTAAACGGCATTTTGATACAAAACAAAACTGGCTTAAGTTAAAAGAGTATCTTCTTCCTCAAGTGTTTGCTTTTGGGTGTGAAGGGGAGATTGAAGAGGGATTTTATGGGGTGAGAATAGAAGATGAGAATCTGTTGGGACACTGAAACGGGTTGTGAAGGTTAAAGGAGACGAGTGAAGAAAGCAGGCTTTTACGGTGTTTTGATAGGCACGAAATTTTGATCAATCGGCTGGAGAATGAGCTCTGACGCTCTCTGCCGCTGGTCGGCCTCCATGAACTGCAAATGCTGCTCGGTATTGTACTGTTTTTAGCTGTTAAGTTGGTTCTTTTTGGATTTTTCTTGCTTGTGTATGCCCGAAAAAAGGAAAAGGCTGATCATCAGATTAAGATATGGATGAGCAATCAAGCATTTGGTGTAGTGTTCTGGTTTCTCTAATGATAATCTTCCAATTCGGATGCATGTGAACATGACAGAAAAGTTCAAAGAATATACAACTTCTAATTCTGATCATGGCAGAACCAAATCAATAAATATACAACTTCTAATTCTGATCATGGCAGAACCAAATCAATAAATGTACCATTATTAGATTGTAAGAAAATTTGAAGAAAATATTAAGATTGGCCATGATATTTCTAGTTAACAGAGATTTTCTTATCTATCAACAAAACTTTGTCAAAGCTTCATCGACAGTCTTTTCCAATTCAAGTCTTTATGGCTTTGAGTGTAAAATGTGCCATTGCTATCGTCCTAACAATGAATAGACTGAACGGAAAGTAGTATAGACAAGCATGCCGAACGGTTCAGCTAATAATGCCAAAAACCCGACAGCTTCTGGCCAAAGCTTGGGGGACAAAAGAACTGAAATGATGGCATAGTACTGACAGTGTCGAGCAGCGTGGGGTTCAATTTGCTGAAAATCAAACATATGTGGATTTAAAATCCACCGAAAAATTATAGTAAAAAAAAGGGGACAATTGGTTAAAAATTAAATAGGTAAATCATAAATTTTAGTCACTACATTTTAGGAAATTTATTAGATTAGTCTTTAAGTTTCAATTATAAATACCTTAGCTCATTTAACTTCAAAATCATCCTAAAGCATTCTAGCTTTCTTCCAATACTAGAGAGAATTTAGAGAGATTCTTGAGAGTTGTTTTCTTCTATTTATCAAGAGAGAATTATTATTGTTTTCTCCTTGGTAGATCGAGAGAAGTTGTAATTCATATTTTCTCATAGTGAAATTCTTCTACCATTGTCTGTGGTTTTTACCCTATATTATTTAGGGGTTTTCCACGTAAATTTTTGTGTCTCTTTTATCTTCATTTTTATTTTCTCAAATTATCAGTTACGATTTTGCTCTATCCGATAGCCGTCTTCCGCAACAATTGGTATCAGAGCCAGATTAGAGTGTGTAATATCTGCTTATTGTCTTTGTGGTTGCCACCAAAAGGTGGATCCTCCAACATAAGAAAGTAAGAAGTTATTACTCATTCTTTGAAGGTTTCTGAGAACTATTCACGATAGTGAAATAGTGGGCGCTATCCGCAAAAAAAAGCTATGGCAACGAAATTTGATATTGAAAAGTTCAATGGGAGAAATTTCTCACTGTGGAAATTGAAGATGAATGCCATCCTGAGGAAAGACGGTTGTCTAGCAGTTATCAGTGAAAGACCGGTTGATTTCACAGATGACAACAAATGGATCGAAATGGACGGGAATGCTATGGCAAACTTTCATCTAGCATTAGCATATGAAGTATTGTCAAGCATCGAGGAGAAGAAGACAGCTAAGGAGATATGAGATCATCTCACCAAACTGTACGAGGCCACATCGCTGCACAATAAAATTTTCCTTAAGAGAAAATTGTAAACTCTCCGTATGCCATAATCTACTTCAGTGACGGAGCACTTAAATACACTGAGCACTTTATTTTCTCAGCTTACATCCTTAAGCTGTAAAATAGGAGAACAAGGATGTGCTGAACTTCTACTTCAAAGTCTACCGGATTCGTATGATCAACTCATCATCAACTTGACAAACAGTAATGTCACCAGTCTAATCTTCGATGATGTTGCAGCTGCTGTTCTACAATAAGAAAATCGACGCAAGAACAAGGAAGACAGACAAGTAAATCTGCAACAAGCAGAAGCGTTGACAATGACGAGAGGGAGATTAACAGAACGTGGCCAAAGCAGCAGTCACAAACATGGTAGATCGAAGTCGAGGAGCAAGAAGAATTTAAAGTGCTACAACTGTGGAAAGAAGGGTCACTTGCAGAATGATTGTTGAAGCCTAAATAAAAACTCCAATCCACAAGAAAATACCGTAAATACTTCAGATGATGGATATGCTCTATGTTGTGAAGCATCAACCACCGTGGAAGACAGGAAAAAGATTTGCAGATATATGGCTCATTGATTCGGGAGAGACATATCACATGACCTTAAGAAGAGAATGGTTCCATCATTATGAACCTGTCTCAGGAGGATCTGTGCATAGTTGCAATGATCATGCCTTAAAGATCGTTGGTGTGGGAACCATCAAATTAAACATGTATGATGGAACAATTAAAGTTGTTCAAGATGTGCGACACGTGAAAGGCCTGAAGAAAAATTTATTATCCTACGGATTGTTGGATAATAATGCAAGCAAGATTGAAACACGGAAAGGAATCATAAAGGTGTTCCCTGGAGCGCTTGTGGTGCTGAAAGGCGAAAAGATAGCAGCAAACTTGTACATGTTGAAGGGAGAAACTTTGCTAGAAGCAGAAGCCTCAGTTGTCTCATGTAGTTCAGATTATGCAATAGTATGACATCAGAAACTTGGACACATGTCAGAACAAGGAATGAAAGTCATTTTGGAGAAAAAACTACTTCCAGGCTTAACAAATGTATCACTTACTTTGTGTGAGCATTGCATAACAAGTAAGCAACACCGGTTGAAATTCAACACATCAAATTCTAGAGGCAAAAGTGTTCTAGAATTGGTTCACTCTGACGTATGGCAAGCACCAGTTACATCCCTAGGTGGAGCAAAATATTTTGTCTTATTTATTGATGACTACTCCAAGAGATGTTGGGTGTACCCTATTAAGAAGAAGTCAGATGTGTTTTCAACTTTCAAAATCTTCAAAGCGCGGGTGGAACTTGATTCTAGAAATAAGATCAAGTATTTTAGAATAGATAATGGAGGAAAATATACAAGCGAAGAATTTGATGACTTTTGTAGGAAAGAATGCATCAAAAGACAGTTCACAGTGGCGAACACTCCTCAACAAAATGGAGTGGCAGAGCGGATGAACAGAACCTTGTTAGAAATAACAAGAGCAATGTTGAGGGATGCAGGCCTAGAAAAATCATTATGGGCAGAAGCAGTCAATACCGCTTGTTATTTGGTGAATCGAGCTCCATCAACTGCAATAGAGCTGAAGACCCAATGGAGATGTGGACTGGTAAACTAGCTGATTATTCAAACCTCCATGTATTTGGAAGTATTGTATACGTGATGTACAACTCCCAAGAAATTTCAAAGTTCGATCCAAAATCCAGGAAATGCAAATTCTTGGGGTATACTAATGGAGTAAAGAGGTATCGCTTGTGGGATCCCACTACCCGCAAAGTGATCATTAGCAGGGATGTTATCTTTGTAGAAGATAAGCTACAAAGAAAAGAAGAAGATAGTAGCACTGAAAAGTCAGAGACTACACAGATACATGTGGAAAAAGAGTTTGAACAAGGAGATTCTTTTGAAGCAGAACCAGCACATGATGAATAAGAACCAGAGAGTTCTGAAACTCCAACAACTTGTCAATCAGATCGTGTGAGAAGACGTCCTAATTGGCACTCAGATTATGTTATAGAAGGTAATATTGCATACTGCCTTTTAACAAATGACGGTGAGCCAACAATATACCAGGAGGCAATAAACAGCTCAGATGCTTCACTATGGATGATGGCGATGCAAGAGGAAATTAAAGCCCTTCATAAAAATAATACATGGGACCTTGTGCCACTACCACAAGAAAGTAAGCCAATTGGTAACAAATGGGTCTTCAAAATCAAGCGAAATGGTGACGATCAAGTTGAGAGGTATTGTAACACCCCCAGCCCGTACTCGACCCGGCTACGAGTCCGAGATGTCACATTGACTTTTCAAAACCTTTACTTGAACAAAATAGTGAATAATTTTAAAACTTTTACTACATACAATTGACTAATTTACATAAATTAGTATCATATGATTTTACAAAACCAATTCGAGTATATCGAATTCAAATTTTTTATTTACATGCCAAATACATATATTTTCTGATCTGAACTTTGTAAAGGAGATACTGACCTGTCTTGCTCCCCAATGCTCTCTATATTCTTCTCGAACCTATGCGTAAAACAATCACACGCTAAGTCGATGACGTAGTGAGGCAAATAAAACATATAATAGAAATCATAAAACATTCCATATAACAAACCACATGAACATTTAATACTAACTTATCATACAAAATCATATAACAATTTCATACAAAATCACACACATTTTTATATAACAAATACACTCATGTACATCTATCATCATCTACTTTCTTAGCATTATCATATATATTATTATAACTATTTCTATCATTATCATCTAATTATTTATCACCTGATCTTGTACTTATCATTTATGTATATCATATTACACATATATCATTTCACCAAGAAACACCCATAAATCATAACTCCTGTAACCAAAAACACATACATTATATATATATATTGTATTCATGTTATCTCTTTGATTAGCCTATGGTACACTTGTGATAACTATAGATATGTGAGTCTATAGAGGCTGTGCACTAATGCTGTCACCACAGCTCGTATAAATGCACCAAAGTGTCACGTAGAAATGCACCGTAGTGCCACGTAGAATTGCACCGAAGTGCCGCGTAGAAATGCACCGTAGTGCCATATAATGCACATAAGGATCACATAGAAATTCCTTAAGAATCATATACATATACCAAT